CCCCAAAACCCCAAAACCCCAAAACCCCAAAACCCCAAAACCCCGAAAAGTTTTAACTTTATACGAAATAAAATATGAAAGTTTCTGAGAATTACATTTTTAGACAATGTGCAGCCCAAGACAGACAGGTTCTAATCCTCGAAGGAAAAGAACAACAGAGCGAGAGTGCTGAGAGGATTCAAGAGAGCAAATAAGTTCATCCTCAAGACCTATTTGAAGATCTGGAGTGGATTTACTAAATTTATTCGAGCTCAAACTACCCAAAAGAAGTCAGTTGATACTCTGATTCTTGGAAAATTCAAAATGGACTCTAAGATAGATACAAAGAATGTTGACTCAGAAGTTGCAGCAGAGTTTTGTACCTTCTATTACCAGCCATTTGTGAAATTTATGGATGATGCGGAGATAACGCTGCATGAAAATGACTATAATCTCAACCCGTATTCACAAGAATTTACTGAGGTTGTTAAAATGAACTTTAGCAGCATCGCTCAGGTATGTAAATGTAAAGTAGAGACAGTAACCCATGTGCTTAATGAGTTCTTAAAGAGACTAGTTTCTATATGCAAGAAGTCTAAAATTAACAATCAGATTATTGTTTTGAATATGAAAATTGGATTTCTTAAAATCCATGATCAGAAGATCAGATTCCTCAACCATTCTGAAATCAGGAAGCGAGGAAAGAACGAAACTTTTTCAAACCCTCGAGAAAGCTTGAAGGCAATGAGCGATGTTGTATCATCATTTATAGAAAGTCTCGCCTCACAAAGAGGAATATCGTTAAAAAGCAGTAAAGTTTCCTCCTGAACCAGTACACCATCAGGAAAATTTGGGAGAAAAGATGACTCTTCCTTCAACAAAAGCCAGATGAATCGGTATATAAGTCCGATTATTGCAGGAAGACAGTCTGAGTTAACTGACAGAGAGTTAAAATAGCATTGAAAATATTGCAAGAGTTGCTGAGAAATTTAGAGACATCAAATCCCAAACCAACAGACCTCTCTACGTAGATGGAACTCCTATAGAAGGAACGAGGTTCTCCAAAAGGATGTTCTTCAAAAACAGACAGACTGAGAAAGATGTCTTCAAGGAAAACCTCGACTTAATTTCCAAGAAGGATAAAGATCAAAAGTTACAAACTATAATTGCTCGTGAAGAGTACAATGTAGCAAGAAAAGATCATGAGGATCATAACAATGAAGAAAGAATGAAGGTTCTAAAGAATATGCCCACTCAACAAGATAATACTAAATACAATTTAAGGAAAGCAAAAATGAGGTATATAAAAGATAAAGAGACCCACAAGGCTAAGCAACTTGAAAGATATTCCTTCTTCCCATTCACAGAGGGTGAAGGAGTTGAGGAAAGAAGAGCTATGGATAAAATCAAATTGACTAAGGAACTTCGAGAAGACAAGAAATTCAATCAACCAAAAACCGCAAGTGTATCTCAAAGGATTAGATCGAGAGGCTCTGCTAACTCATTTAATCGTACAAATGGGCTTAGCCCTCTGAGTAAAGTAAATATGGAGGACGTAATCTCCAATAATGGTAATCTAGGTAATACTAACTTATCATTTAACCAAAATGGCCAAAGAGAGCCCCCAGATTCATTCCTTACTAGCTATCCAAAATTCCTAGAACCACATAAATTTCACCCATATCGGAGGCTGAACGATAGTCATATTGAAAAAGTAATGAATGATGCTGTCCAGAGAGTTGAAGACCAGGTGCAAAACATAAAGGATCTTCGTGCCAAACGATCTCAGGATTTCAACGACCAAATGAGAGTTATTATGAAAAGGGTTGAAAAAGAGCATTTCCAGAAACAGAAAGAAGAGCAAACCCTGCAAGAATACCACCAAGCCCAGATAAGAACGAAAGAGGGTAAGCTTCCAGCACTAGATATAGTAATTAAGAATTCTGAAGACAAGAAAGCTCAAGAGAACGCTTATTATGGACCTAAGAGTAAGGGATATATTAACTACAACAATGAATTCAAGGATGCCAAGAACAAGAGAGAAGCAGAGATCCTCCTCAGGAACGAACAAAAGAGACAAATAGAAGAGCAAAGGAGAGCTCTAAGCATGTTCAAATATAAGGAAAGGCTCCAAGATGTAGAAAATCTCTGGGTAGCAGGAAAAATGATGATGAAGGAAAACAAAGAAGCTGCACAGAAGAATAAGGTACTCCGTTTATAACCTGTAGCAATCCAAGCAGATGTATAAAGATCTATGGAAGGAGCAGATGAAGATAAACAACATCAAAGCTCTCCACTTAGACTTATAAATACCCAAAATACTCTCTTTTGGTCCTGCCAATAATCAGGGTAGACAAGTAGCTTCTAGTATTGAGGGTAAGGAGGAGACCGCTTTTGATAGACAAGTTTTCAATGTGTATCAAATAACTAGGGGTTTTGGGGTTTTGGGGTTTTGGGGTTTTGGGG